TAGTCGACTAATCGACTATAAAAAGATCGTTTGTGGCAGCTCTTTTTGCAAACAGTTGTTTTGTAAATATAAAGTCAAATCTCAAACTAACAGTGAATGTTAACGTTAAAAGTAGCTAAACAGATGCTAAAGTTAAAAGTAGCTGAACAGATGCTAAAGTTAAAAGTAGCTGAACAGATGCTAAGGTTAAAAGTAGCTAAACAGATGCTAAAGTGAAAAGTAACTAAACAGATGCTAAAGTTAAAAGTAGCTAAACAGATGCTAAAGTTAAAAGTAGCTAAACAAATGCTAAAGTGAAAAGTAGCTAAACAGATGCTAAAGTTAAAAGTAGCTAAACAGATGCTAAAGTAAATATTATAATAACAGAAGATCAATTTAAAACAAGCTAAGCAAATGTTATGACTAGAAGAACAGAAGCTAAAGTTAAAAGTAGCTAAATAAAAGCTACAGTTAGGGTCACATTTAGTTTAGAAAGACACTGAAAAGAATAATGCACAAAAAAAAAGTTTGTTTTGCTAAAAGCTGTTAGAAGAACTGGCTCAGTCTCTGTTACCATGGTGACTAACCATCTCTATACTCTGTCTGTGTGAGCGGTACCTGTGTGAGTGGTACCTGTGTGAGTGGTACCTGTGTGAGTGGTACCTGTGTGAGTGGTACCTGTGTGAGTAGTACCTGTGAGAGTGGTACCTGTATGAGTGGTACCTGTGAGAGTGGTACCTGTGTGAGTGGTACCTGTGAGAGTGGTACCTGTGAGAGTGGTACCTGTGTGAGTGGTACCTGTGAGAGTGGTACCTGTGAGAGTGGTACCTGTATGAGTGGTACCTGTGTGAGTGGTACCTGTGTGAGTGGTACCTGTGAGAGTGGTACCTGTGAGAGTGGTACCTGTGAGAGTGGTACCTGTATGAGTGGTACCTGTGTGAGTAGTACCTGTATGAGTGGTACCTGTGAGAGTGGTACCTGTGAGAGTGGTACCTGTGAGAGTGGTACCTGTGAGAGTGGTACCTGTGTGAGTGGTACCTGTGTGAGTGGTACCTGTGTGAGTAGTACCTGTGTGAGTGGTACCTGTATGAGTGGTACCTGTGTGAGTGGTACCTGTATGAGTGGTACCTGTGTGAGTGGTACCTGTGTGAGTGGAACCTGTGTGAGTGGTACCTGTATGAGTGGTACCTGTGTGAGTGGTACCTGTGTGAGTGGTACCTGTGTGAGTGGTACCTGTCTGACTGGAACCAGAACACTGAGGTGTGAACAGAGTCTAGAACAGGACTGTGTAGGGAC